TGATTTTGATTGCTTCCATTGTCCTCATTTGTAAGTCGCTTTGGATAAAAGCGTCTGCTAAATGACTAAATGTAAATATTTGATTTTGGAGTGATATATGAGCTGCAAAGTTCGTCTTTGTGGGATTCACACAAAAGGGTCAATAACGGCCGTCCAAAGCATGATAGCAGCGATGTGACAGAATGAACAGACCTAATTTATCTTTATTTAAATGTTCTCCTACCTACAAACAGCTGGCTGTTGAGCTGCAGATGAATGTGTCCGTCAGCGGGGGCTTTCTGAACGGCGCCGGGATGATGGTCCACATACAGCGAGGCCTCCTTCACGTTCCTCTCGGCTCTCACGTGATGCCAGCGCTCGTCGTTCAGAGCCGCCGGCGTCTCCACCTTCACCTCCAGAGGACCGTTCCCCACGTCGAACGAGAAGAGCACTCGAGTCGGAGCTGGAAACACAAACACGTTTGATGGATGTTCAGACTGATATTTGGCTGATGTTCGGATCCAGTTAATAAGACGCAACTCTTGAGGAGAAATGAGACATGAGACGCATTCCAGTGAAATCTGTTGTGTGGCAGATGATGTTTGATGGTTTGAGAAAAACGCCAGGAGAACGTCAAAAACAACTTCTAATGATGATGAAATGAATGAGAAAACATCTGACAGATACATTCAGCTGTTTTTAATGGGAGAAGAGCATCATGCTGATGAACAGCATCATCTATAGAGCTAAAAACCCGCAGGAGAGAGAGATCTCACACCAAACCTCTTTAAGATCTCAACAACTTCTCTGAGGAACCAGAGGAAAATATGAACTCAGTATGAACTCATCAATGATCTGAGCTACTTCCACATTCATTTGATTCATTCAGAAGATCAGAGACTTTTTTTTATTTTGATTGAGCAACTTTTATTGGGCCAGCAACCACATAGTAACACCACTCATGTTTTCTGCAGAACATGTAACAATCTAGACAAAAGCACATAATAAAATTATTAAAACTAAAATTAAAGTGAAAACTGAAAACACACAAAAAAACCAAATAATAGTATATAATTAATACTAAAATAACACTGAAATAAAAATAAAAATATAAATAATAAAAAATGTAAATATTTAAAAATGTATATATGTACATAAAATTTTACCAAAACTTTACAATTAAAATGAAAACTGAAAATATACAAATAAAAGCTTATTTAAAATATTGATAAATACTATTTTAATATACAATTAATACTAAAATAACACACAAAAAATATAAAATATAAATAATAAAAAATATTAAATATTTAAACATTTATATATGTAAAAACAAATTTAAAATATCAAAAAGTATTATAACAGTATATAATTAATACTAAAATAACACTGAAATAAAAATATAAAATATAAATAATAAAAAAATATTAAATATTTGTACATAAACTTTTACCAAAACTTTACAATTAAAACGAAAACTGAAAATATAAAAATAAAAGCTTATTTAAAATATTGATAAATACTATATTAAAATACAATTAATATTAAAATAACACTGAAATGAAAAAAATCTAAAAATAGAAAATAAAAAATATTTGTAAGCATAAATTACTATTTTTTTCTGTAATATTTCAACAAAATTACCTATTATTGTATTTAAGTAAAAAAATAGATTTTACAATATTTTTAAGCAAAATTTCCCATTCATCATCATCATCATCATCATTATTATTATTATTATTATTATTATTATTATTATTATGTTATTGACAGTTTGTCTTTGTGAGATTCATACAAAAGGGACAAATACTGTCCATCCAAAACATGACAACAGTGATGATTTCTGAGCTGCACACAGAATGATCAGACATTATTTATCTGATAAATGTTCTTCAATTTGCTCTCAGAAATTACAAGTAAATATCACAAATAATTACAAAGAAACGACAAGTCCCACAGTGAATTCTGAAGTAGAAAAGCTGAACTAGTTTTCTTGTAAAACACACTCCAATAATCTTAATAACGCACAGAAAAACAACCTAAATCTGCTTCACACATCTCAGTTTCTTACTCCGTGTTCACATCTGTTGAAGAACCAGCGCATCTTCAGGCTCCCGCCGCTCCATCTGCAGGATCCCTGAATGAAAGATCGGCAGCGTCTGTCATGAAGCACTTCTCTAATGACAGAAAACTGCTGATGAAGTGCTGCTGAAATGAATATTTTGCCATCGTTTCCTCATTCATGTCGTTATACAGACTTTCGAGATGTTTCGCTGAATGTTCATGAAGCTCTTTCTCATATGAGGAAAGTGAACTGACTTTGTCAAGTTTTAATGGCAGTATAATAACGGGAGTATTGACTCTCGCACTAAACTGTGAGTCTTATGGTTCATTTATTATCAAATATATAAAACAATACAAATTTATAATAACTACCGTTAAAAAGTTTGGGGTCAGTATGACTAAAGAAATGTATACTTTTGTATGAAAAGTGTCAGTAAATACATTTATAATGTTACAAAATATTTCTGTTTCAAGTAAATGCTGTTCTTTTAAACTTTCTATTATCAAAGAATCCTGAAAAATAAAATGTATTCAGCATCACAACCGTTTTCAACATTGATAATAATCAGAAATGTTTCTTGAGCATCAAATCAGCATATTAGAATGATTTCTGAAGATCATGTGACACTGAAGACTGGAGTAATGATGCTGAAAATTCAGCTGCGCATCACAGAAATACATTACAGTTTAACAGATATTCACATAGAAAACTGTTATTTTAAATTATAATAATATGTCACAATATTTCTGATTTTACTGTATTTTTTATCACATATATGCAGTGAAATCTATGCATCTATCTATCTATCCATCCGTCCATCTATCTATCTATCTATACATGCAAAGTTTGTCTTCTTAAACTTGTTAAAAATTACAGTTATATGAATTTCTTTGAATTTCAATTCATTTTAATTCTACTTCCTTGCATTTAAATTCAAATTTAAATTCTGTATCCTGTTTGCAACCTTAATTCAAACTCTGGAGCTGAACTGGAATTTAAAAGATATTCTCAATCCACGTCTTGAGTATTTTTCTGTATGGAGAAAAAAAGTATACATTTTCTGCTATATGAAGGAAATAGAGTCATGCCGGTTTGGATCGATGTGATGGCGGGTAAATGACATTTCAACCGAACGCTTCCAGCTCACATCTCAGATGCCACTGTTTATTCTCGTCCGGTGCTTTGAAAGGAACTTCCTGTGAGTTCACGTCCTACATGAGCAGCCTCGCCAGGCGCCGACTCCGTCAGCATATAATGAGAGGTTAATTGAGCTCTTCCAGCCGGAGGATTTGTCATTATAAAGGAACAAGCGCTCGGGCGCTGTAAGGTCTTCACTGATTCTATTCTCATCCATCACATGAGCCCATTACGGCAGGAATTTAACAGCTCTTTCATGCAGTTAAACACTCGCGCAATAGACAGCGAGCGTGTGGCGGAGGGGTATAATAAAACTCTAGACACACCCCCACAGGACGAGGGCTTTTATAGGGTTCGGATGGACTACGGCTGACGTGAGACAGATAGAGCTCATCTAACAGCAGCTGATTTAGATTTTACATTTTCAGAGGGAAATGATAGTGGTGTGTGTGCATGCAGTTTGTTATGCAGTTGCACTAGTTTCTGTGATCTGCTGCTCTCTAAAAATGGCTCAGATGTGCGGCTGTGGGTTTTTCCACCTGTTTTCTGGTCCAGCAGGTAAAAATGGTGCATCTGCTCATTTAGTAAAGTAACCAGGGTTATTATAGTTAACTAAAACTTAAAACATAAAAAACATTTTTATAAATAATAACTAATTCAATAAATCCAATTAAACAGCATTTCTATATTTTTATTAATATGTATATAATTTATATTATATGCATAAAATTAATATTTGAATATTAACATGAAATATTATTATTAAACAATATTAATATTATACATGATTATATATAACTATGTATATTTCTATTTTAGAATTGAAATATTCTATTCTATTCTATTCTTCCAACTCTGAATACTATAATGCATCCATATATTTGAACTATTTGTATATTTATTAATATCTGTATCTATATTTATACACACATACACACACAATAAGAAATAAACTTTAACTGAAACAAAATAGAATATAAAAATTAATAAAAATATTTTAAATACTTTCATATCTAATAAAAACGATACTTATCATTTTTATATTAAAATGACATTATATATCATATTATATTATATTTTATAATATGTCATGTCATATCTCATATCACATCACATCACATCACATCACATCACATTTCACACATCACATCACATCACATTTCACACATCACATCACATTTCACACATCACATCACATCACATTTCACATATCACATCATATCACATCAACGAAGAAAACAAGAGCATGGATGTGCATGAATTAATTGAGAACTTTTTTAAACGTGGCCTTCAATACAAAGACATTGTTTCTGTTCTTGAAAGTGAAAGTGAAAGTGACGTGACATGGTGACCCATACTTGGAATTAGTGCTCTGCATTTAACCCATCCAGGAGAGAGCGCTGTACATTCTTTCCCCCCACCTACAATCCCTGCTGGTACGAGACTCGAACCCACAACCTTTGTGTTACGAGTCCGACTCTCTAACCATTAGGCCATGACTTCTTTCATTCAGACACAGATTTATCATCACTGAACAGCATAAGAACAGCTTTTTCCCTCAGGCTATATTCCACCTGAACAACACATAACATCTCAGGACTGTACATCTGTACATAACTTCTCTAATATCTGTAAAATAACACGTTTGCACATTCATAATTCTGTCTATTTTCTCTATATTTTTATTACCATATAGCTATTTTTTTTAAAGTATTGTCTATTCTCTTTATTATTAGTGTTATATTTCATTTTATTACCTTAAATTATATGTATGTCTGCACTATGTCTGTACTTTCTGCACTGTAAGCTCCTGTCACCATGACGAATTCCTTGACAATAAAGCTCTTTCTGATTCTGATTCTGACATTCAAAACGCATTTTGAGGTCTAGAAGCGATTGGTACAGTAAAAAAGTGCTCTGCTCTATATATTGGTATGGTAAAGGTGTTAAAATATTCTTATTTCACAAGATAAAAACATCCTTTATTAAAGCACTTTGTTGGATTTAATGCATCTTTGCAGCCTACGGAGAAATGCTGAGTTTCTTCATTCAGTTCTAACAGCGGTTATTGCGAGCAGTGCTATATATGGACAAAAGCGTCTTGCTATATAAAAACGATCAAGGAGCTGGATTCAGCCTCATATTCAGCCAAAATTAAAGCTCAATACACTAAGCTGTATTGCGCCATCAGCCCATTTCACAGCGAGGTTTCTCAGCCGTCTCAGCGGACATAAGGCTGTGATATAGGTAGAAAAGCCAATTTTTGAGCAAATATAGGTCTTTATTAAGTCATGTGCACCCATAATCTTCTTTTCTTCACCGTAAAATTGCAATGATGGACAAAGGAAATAGGTCATAGTTTACATAATTCAGATATTGTAACGTGTGCGCACGTGAAAAGTTTCTCGTGAGCATGCGAAAGTCTGTGTATTTTTTATTTTTGCAAAGGTCCCTTTAGCGGCTCCGTAGAGTTCTCACTGCCATAATGCATATATTACTTTTACTACTCCAATTAACTTGTAAAATGATTTCTATAATAGTTATGAATATCTATATACTTTATGAAGACATATATTTGTTTATTTGAACAACTATATATAAATAAATCAATATATTTGAATAATAAATCCTGCATAGACATAAAAAAAAACCTAATATGAAAAAAACTCAAAATTACTAATAGAAAAATAACAGCTAATTCAAAACAGAACTATAATAGGCTATACTAGGATCATAAACACACACGGTGAACTTTATTACTTTGGTTTAGGGCTTCAGATGACTATGAGTTACAGTAATGGTGATGCTTGACTTAGCAAACACTGCTAATAAAATGGCCAAAGGTCTTAAATTGATCATGTAGAGGAGGGTTTCACTGCAAACCAGCAGAGCATGTCTCTACATATTGGTTCAAGAGCTATTTTGCGGTAATTTCCCTGGAGAAAACCATTTTGTGATGTCTATATTTTCAGCCGACAGCTTCTGTGGATTATTTCTCCTTTTGGAGGATCAACAAATACCCAGCAATATTGACATACTCAACTCACGTATGTAACCCCATGTAAACATGAGCAAACACACACACACAGACACAGACA